AACAGAAGCCTGAAACCCGGACCTGCCTCAACTCCCCACAAAAATTCACCTACATTTGCACTTTGCTCACCTCCTTTTTCCAGATCCACATGGGTCTGCACCCTACCCTTTCCACTGCTCAGGTGCCCCATGTGACTATGTGTGATTCCTCCTATAGTATATTCAACCTCTCCCTCTTTAGACTTTTAAAATCAACTTTATTGAGGTATAATTTCATATAGTAAAAATGTACCCTTTGTAAGTGCAGTGTTATAAACTTTGGGAAACGTACTCCCTTTATTCCTCTGCAATCAATCCCCCAGGCACCTCCCACTCCAAGCAACTATTGATCTGCTTGCTGTCACTCTAGAATATTAGTATTTTCTAGAATGTCATAGAAATAGAACCAGATGGCATTTACTCTTTTGTGTCTGGCATGTTTGTGAAATTCATTCATCTATGCTCATGTCCTTTTTTTTTTTTTTTTTGCTAAGTAGTATTCCATTGAATGGATATAATACAACTTGTTCACCCATTCACCTGTTGATAGACATTGAGGTTGTCTCCAGTTTGGACTATTATGAACTAAGCAGCTATGTATATTCACAAACAAGTCTTTGTATAGAAATATATTTCATTTCTCTTGGTTAAATTTCTAGGAAAGGAATTGCTGTTTGATATGGTGTGTTATGTTTATGTTGAACTTATAAGATACTCCCAAACTATTGTCCAAAGTGGCTGTACTATCTTGCATTCCTGCTAGCAGAGGAAGAGAGCTCCTATTTCAGTGATGGCGAACCTATGACACGTGTGTCAGAGGTGACACATGAACTCATTTTTTTGGTTGATTTTTCTTTGTTAAATGGCATTTAAATATATAAAATAAATATCAAAAATATACATTTTTGTTTTACTATGGTTGCAAGTATCAAAAAATTTCTATATGTGACACGGCACCAGAGTTAAGTTAGGGTTTTTCAAAATGCTGACACGCCAAGCTCAAAAGGTTCGCCATCACTGTCCTATTTGCTCCACATCCTCATCACCACTTCTTATTGTCAGTTTTTTTTACTTTAACCATGTGCTGTGATCTTTCCTTTTGATTTTGTTTTAAACTAGTTTTAAATGAACAAAGTAATAAATTCACATGTTAACAAAATTGTACAAACAGCATATAATGAAAAATAAACCTTTTTCTTACCTTAGTTTCCACATCACACTCTATTAAACATTTAAACAAATTCTTGTATATATTTCCAGAGATTATACACATACACTGTTGGGGACTGAATTGTGTCATCCCAAAGTTCATATGTTAAAACCCTAACCCCCAATCTGTATTTGAAACTAGGACCTTGCGTGAAACTAGGACCTTTTTGGAAGTAATTAAGTTTAAATGAGCCTGGCCGGCATGGCTCAGTGATTGAGCATTGACCTATGAACCAGAAGGTCACAGTTCGATTCCCCATCAGGACACATGCCGGGGTACAGGCTCCATCCCTTAGTGGGGGGCACACAGGAGGCAGCCAATCAATGATTCTCTCTCATCATTTAAGTTTCTATTTCTCTCTTTCTCCTTCTCCCTTCTTCTCTGAAATCAGTAATAATAAAAAAGATTAAATAAGGTCATAAGGGTGGAGTTCTGATCCCATAGGATTAGTGTCCTTATAAGAAGAGATTTGAGAGAGCTCTCTCTCTCTGCCATACAGGGACACCGTTAGAAGGCACTTGTCTGCAAACCAAGAAAAAATAATTACCATTGGTTAAACCATCCCATGGTATTTTGTTATGGCAGCTTGAGCTAAGACATACACACAAATGTAAATGCATATAAATACAGGAGAACATATTAGACACACTGTTCTGCCACTTGCTCCCCCACCGTTAGTATGTAAGGGCTATCTCCATACCAGCACACCTACCTCGTTCTGTTGAGTAGCTGTGTAGTATTCTATTGTGTGAACATCCTATAAGTGATTTTGCCAGTGTCCTGTTGCTGAATATTTAGGTTGTTTCCAGGCTTTTGCCACTACAAACAGCAACTGTCTTCATACCTGTGTCTTGACTCACATGGTGGGGAGTATATCTCTAGGACAAATTTTTAGAAGCAGAATACTGTCAATATTTAAACATGCGATTATATCTCTTTTATAAAAAAAAAATCCCTCACCCTACCTGATTTGGCTCAGTGGATAGAGTGTTGGTCTGCAGACTGAAGGGTCTCGGGTTCGATTCTGGTCAAAGGCACTTACCTGGGTTGTGGGCTCGATCCCCAGTAGGGGGTGTGCAGGAGGCAGCCGATCAATGATTCTCTCTCATCATTGATGCTTCTATCTCTCCCTCTCCCTTCTTCTCTGAAATCAATAAAAATGTATTTTAAAAAATTCCCTCAATAACATCTTTCCCCAGCTCAGCTACTACATCTGCTCTCTCCTCCCTTTGCTGCTAAACTTTTAAAATAGCGTTCTACACTAGCTCTACTTTCCCTACCTATAGCATAGCCTCCCACTCCCCTCCATACACACCACTCAGTTTTCACTGGCAAGTTAGAATGACTCCATGTCTAAATATTCAATGGATACTTTGCTAGACCCCCAGCAGGATTTGACAGTTATCCACTCCTCCTTTTAATAACCTCTTCCCTTAGCATCCATTCTACAATAGTCTTTTGTTCCTTTTCCTCTTTATCTCTTGACAGGTCATGTTTTTCTACCTGTCCTTAAAGACTGGAATTACTCAGGGTTTAGTTCTAGATTTACTGGGGTTTTTTTCCCTCCTTACTCTATTATCTCTCTTCCCATAATCTCATTCATTCCTATGACTTTATGGCCACCCATACACCTTATACCCGTGCCTCCCAATTCTGTATCTTCAACCTAAATTTCTTCTCTGGAGTCCAGATTCCTACTATTACCTCCTAGATACCTCTACTTATATGTTTCACAGACATCTCAAGTATAATATGCCCCTAATTTCTCTTTGCTACCATAAAAATTCCTCCCCTATACTTTTCATCTTGATAAAATGGTGCACTCATCTACTCTCATTCCTTTGTACCCAAACATTACAAAGTCCCCTCAAATCCCACTTCTTAAACATCTCAAAAACATATCCACTTCTCTTTGTTTCTAATGCCACTACCTTGGTTCAAGCCACTTCATTTCTCACCTGGATTACCAAAATGCCCCTACCTCCCACCTCAGTTCCCATTCTTACACTCATCAAATCTTTTCCCCATTAATATAGCCAGAATTATCTTTTCAAATGCAAATCTGACATGTCATTCCACTATTAGAATCTTGTTATGCCTCCCCATTTTCCTCAAGTGAAGCTCCAAGGTTGTTCATGATTTGGCCCCTACCTCCCTCACCAGGATCATCTCACTCCCTTTCCCCCAACACCCAGCAGGTCTTCTTTAATCCCTGATATTGCCATGTGCTCTCTCCCCCAGCTTCCCACCCACATTGTCATCACTGCCTCAGAGCCTGACCAGCTTCTCTTCTTCGCCAAAAAAATCCGTCTGCAGGAAGACTCCCATGACTACCCATTATAGTTTAGAACACACTCTTGCAATTTCCCGTTCTTCTTCCAGGTAGCACTTCCTGCCATTGTAATAGTACTAGAGGCCCGATGCACTGAATTCATGCAAGGGGCTCGGCCCTCACAGCCCCGGCTTCATCTGGAAGGTCGTTCAGACAGTCATTCTGCTGTTTGGTCTAATTAGCATATTAGCTCTTTATTATATAGGACATTTGTATTCATCTTCTGTTTAATGCCTAACTGTCCCTCTAGAATTATAAGCTCCAGGAATATAGGAACACTACAGATCTCAGGGGTTGACAATGTTTCTGTAAATATTTTAGGCTTTGTGAGACATGCAGTCTTTTGCAACTACTCATGTTTGCTGTGGAAACCTGAAAGCTGCTATCAAACATATGTAAACAAATGAGCATGGCTGTGTTCCAATAAAACTTTATTGAGAAAAACAGGTAGAGAGCTGGATTTGGCTTATGGGCCATATTTTGCCCACCCCTGATCTATATTAATGGCCACTGTTCTCAGAGCTGATAGTTTTATAGCACTTACTATGAGCAAGGCACTGTTTTAAGTGGTTTCCATGTACACATTCACTTAATGGTTCGGATGACCTCATGAGGCAATTCTATTCGTGTCCTCATTTTCAGATGAGACTGAGAGCTCACAGTAACTTAGCCAAGCACACCCAGCCACTAGGTTAAACTTGTACCTAGGCAGTCTGGCTCCAGAGCCTATGCTCTTAACCTTCTTGGTTGGTGAATGTATGAACAAATGAGTAATCAAATGAGATTGGGGTGTGGAAATCTTCAAAAAGTATAATATACTACAGAGGTTTGCAAGTTGGAACAGAGCTTAACAAGCCAGAATACTGAGGTCAAGGGAGATATAAGAGCAGACGAATCCCATGTCTGCTCTTTACTAGCTATTTGACCTCACATATACTATTTGATTCAGGTTGCCACTTACATTTCCAGAACATTTGGGAAATTGACATAGGGTTGGCAAGCCTTTTTCTCCTCCCAATGTAAGGACATTAATCACTTTATTAAAAACCTAACATTTATTATCACAATTATATTATAAATGAAGGAACATTTTAATATCCACACCCCAAATAAAGTAGGAAGATTATAATCTGAGAATAATGAACTCACAACAGTGCCCTGTTTCTCTTATTTCACGCATTTCCAGCATTTGGAAAGGGGCACTCAGTCGAAGCCTCATTTTTCCTGTCTGTGAAATGAGCCGTGCTATAGAAACATTGCACAGGCACTGATCTG